CTGGGCTCTGGGATCTGGGGGGATGGAGGAGGGAAGGGGGATCCCACCCCCCGAGGTGTGCGGGGAGAGAGCGCAGCTCCGCGTGCAGAACCGTAAGGGCTCTCGCCGCCTGCACCGTACGTTGTTTTATTATTTTATCTTGCTTATTTTTATTTTATTGTCGGGGGGGAAGCAGTTTACGACCGATCTGCGCGGGGGTGGAGGTGGCTGGTTCGACTCTCGCCTCGGTCTGCAGCTGGGCTTGTCAGTCTGCGCCGCGTTGATGTTGCGCTTTCCCCCCAAAGATGGCACTGGATGTCTTTCGCATTTTCTTGGGATATTGTTTTTCATCCCCTGGGGAGCCCAGCTCCTGGCTGGTACAGCTGTAAATCTTTCCCTTTTCGCATTCATTCACCCTGGGTCTGTCGTGGATTTGTATTCAGTGCTCGTGAAGAAGGCGGCTGGTTGTGTGGGGTAGGAGGAAATTCTTTGCTGTGAGGGTGGTGAGGCCCTGGCACAGGTTGCACAGAGAAGCTGTGGCTGCCCCATCCCTGGAAGTGTCCAAGGCCAGGTTGGATGGGGCTCTGGGCAACCTGCTCTAGTGGAAGGTGTCCCTGCCCTTGGCCAGGGAGGTTGGAACTGGTTGGATGGTCTTTAAGGTCCCTTCCAACCCAAACCATTCTGAGATTGTATTTTATGAATTAGAAGTGAGTGTGTTTGGTTTTCTTTTTAATCTGGTGGCCCTAAAGCCCACACAGGTGACGCTAGATGTGAAATGAAGTCTTTGACTGCTGGGTGAGCACAAAGACTTTGTGTCCTGGCAGGAGCTGTCGGTCACTGTTCATGCTGACTGTGTTAGAAGAAGCTTTCCTGTTCTTGTCGTCCCTGTTCTTCCACGACACAGTGCCCTTTTCTCTGTGGAGTGGGGAACAGCTCTGTGCTAGTTGTGTTCTGGGTAGATAAGACAGTTTCTTAGGATTATTGGATGAGTTTTGGAAATGCTTGATACCACTTAGCTTTCCCTGCTTTTCAGGTAAACAGGTATGACATCTTGGAGGGGAGTAAAAAGGTAAAAAAGGGACTTTTCCTCTGGCTGACAGTAAAGAAAATCAGGGTTTTTTCCCTGGTCCCCTGTATAAGTGTGGCATTTAAATACTCAGCTAAATTTCTGTATAGGTCCAGAACTGTCACTGCAGTTTTCTGAGTGAGCGTTGCAATCTTCGTGTTGTCAGCTGACAACATATTTGACAGTTCTACTATTCTTCCACTATTTAAAAGACTGGAAGATGTTCTGTTTATTTGAGAAGCTTTTAATCTGTCTGATGAAAATGGATTTGTTCTTTGTTTGTATTTTGAGGTTGTTGTTGGGGTTTTTTAATCTGCTCTTAACATTCTTATGAATCCTCAGGTACTTTTTGTCCGACACTTAGTTCATCTTAGCCTTTTCTACCCCATTTTTCTTTCACACCTTGGCCTGTGGTCAGGAAATACTTGAAAACAGGTTGTTTGCACCCTTGCTTTAATTTTATAAGGAGCCTGTTAGATCTGTAGGCTGAGTTACTTTCTCATAGAAAATGTCTTGGCCACTTGACAGCACTTAGTTCAGGACTCTGTAATGCACATACGTCACTTTAAGAAGGAGACTTTCCAAATGCACTAGGAAGCAAATTTGTTGAGCTTTCTGATGCTGCAGATTCAGAGAGAAGAGAACTGGTCATGTTCCTTACTCTGCCATGTGGAACATGAACATGATGGTGTTCTTGCCTGTTTCCAACTCAGTTTTGGGGGCATTCGGAATTGCTATTGCTAGTTAGGCAGATGTTGAGTTCAGTAGCAAGGGAGAAGCACTTCCCATGGCTTGCCAAGCAAGCATACCAGCTAATACTGGTTTTTTTTTAGATGGCATGGGGTCTCCTTTGCATTCCTCATCTATGATGCCATATCCATACTCTCCCCACTACTGGACTTTGGCCAGATCCTCAGCGTTGCTGTAATCCCCTGCTGAAAGAGATCAGTACCAGGTGGCTCGGGCAATTTGGGCTTTGTCAGATCATTTCTGTTTTCAGAAAGTCTCCGGTGCTTTATCCCTCTTCTGCCCTTGATCTTGTGTATGTGTGTGTACATGTACACACGCAGTGTTTATTTACACCTTCTGTCTTGTTCTTACTTTAGGGTTGCAGATGCATGCCAGGTTCCCGCTGAATGCCAGCAGTAGAGATCACTCCAGATGGAGCCCCAGGGTCAGCATGGCAGCGGCGGTTCCGTGGTGGTGATTCAGCAGCCCTCCTTGGACAGCCGGCAGCGCTTGGACTATGAAAGGGAGAGCCAGCCCACGACGATCTTGTCACTGGACCAGATCAAGGCCATCAGGGGCAGCAACGAATACACCGAAGGTCCTTCTGTGGTGAAAAAGTCTGCTCCGCGGACAGCACCGAGGCAGGAGAAGCACGAAAGGACTCACGAGATTATACCAATTAATGTGAATAATAATTACGAACATAGGTCCAGCCATGTGGGGCACGTGGCACATCAGCATAACACGAGGGCTCCCGTCCTGAGCCGGTCGACCAGCACGGGGAGCGCGGCCAGCTCTGGGAGCAACAGCAGCGCCTCCTCGGAGCAAGGGCTGCTGGGGCGGTCACCCCCGTCCCGGCCGGGCTCCGGCCACAGGTCCGACCGGACAATCCGGGCGCAGCCCAAGCAGTCGTCCCTGATCGTGGATGATCTGAAGGGTCCTTTGAAAGAGGACTTGACGCAGCACAAGTTCATCTGCGAACAGTGTGGGAAGTGCAAGTGCGGGGAGTGCACGGCGCCGAGGGCGCTGCCGTCCTGCCTGGCCTGCAACCGGCAGTGCCTGTGCTCGGCCGAGAGCATGGTGGAGTACGGCACCTGCATGTGCCTGGTCAAAGGGGTCTTCTACCACTGTTCCAACGACGATGAAGGGGACTCTTACGCGGATAATCCCTGCTCCTGCTCCCAGTCACACTGCTGTTCTAGGTACCTGTGCATGGGAGCCATGTCCTTGTTCCTGCCTTGCTTGCTCTGCTACCCTCCGGCCAAAGGATGCCTAAAACTCTGCCGAGGGTGCTATGACCGCGTCAATCGTCCGGGTTGCCGGTGCAAGAACTCCAACACAGTCTATTGTAAACTGGAGAGCTGCCCCTCCCGGGGTCAGGGCAAGCCTTCATGATTTTGGGAGGGAGGTTTACTTCCTCCAACTTCGGTTTTTCAGGTTGTAGCTGATTTTTTTTTTTTTTTCCCCTTTCCTTCTTCCCCTTCCTCTCCCGTTTTGGGAGGACTGTTCTTTTCCTTTCCCTTCTGTCTCCCCAGCTTCAGATACACAAGTTCTTCCCTTTGCATCTTTGCTCTCCTCTTCCTATTGACTTGGCTGAGTGTGGAGCGTTCCATGTAGTCGTTGCTGCTCTTTGGTAAGTGTGGACCTGGTATCTGCACCTGTCGCTCACTTGGGCAGGGTCTTTGAGCTTGTAACTGAACCACTCCTGAGAGAGACAGTGAGGGCTCACTGGGCTCTTGAAGCTTCTTGCTCTGTGAATATCTCTTCCCAAAGATGTTTTTCCTTCTCAGCAGTTTATGGGTTTTTTTTCCTTAACCTTCCGGTAGCCAAGGAAGAATATCTTTCCTGAGTGAGCTGGATTGTGAAATAGTTTTTTGTGTGTGTTCTTTCTGGAGAGGGATGTAAAATAAAGGCTTCACCAAATGAAAGGTCTGACTCTTCTATAAGCAGCCTGCTTCTTTTTGCATCTTTTTTTTTTTCCCCACCCTCTCTTTTTGTCTTAACTTTCGGAACATTCTCACACCTGAGAATTACCCTGCCTCCTGCCTTTTTTTTTTTTTTTTTTTACATTTTCTATGTAACTTCAGTTTTTGCTACACTGCGTAGATCTTCACATTGGAGACATTGTGGCTGCAACATACTCATTTGTTTCTTTTGCTGTCCAGTCTTTGAAGGATATTGCTCGCTCCACTCTCCTAATCCTGTTCTTATAGTCTGTCAGTATCAGTTGATATTAAAGTTGGTGGTGTTCATATATCCAAACAGCCTTCAGGTGTCATTGAGTCACCTAAATGTTCTTGAATCCTTCAAGTTTCTTGTGATCCTTTGGTTTAGTGAGTTTAGCTCTGCTCTGTACTTTATAATTTTATTCTGTCCCTGTTTTATTGCCTTAGCCACAAATTGTGGTCCTTTTTTGTATATTTTATGTATAAAACACAAAGTTGAATCCCAACTATTTTTAAGACAAAAGTCTGTTAAAACTTTTTTTATTGTAAAGAATATTTATTATGTGAATCTCTATTATTTTATGATATTTATTGCAAAAGACTTTGAAAATGTACTCATGTCTGAATATAACAAAATATCAATACTTAACGAAATAAGGATGACACGAAGAAAGTACATATGTTAACTATAATGCAGAAAATATATTAATTAATGAAAATGGCTCTTGAGTTCTTTTGTTACAACGACAGGTTGTGAGCTATGTGTGGAGTTTCTCCTTGAGGTCTGTCAGGTGGCAAATAATCTCCTATTGATACTTCAAAACCACTAGTCTGTGCTCTAGTTTAGTTTACCTAATTTTAAGTTCACTAACTATATATCAAATAAGCTTTTTGCTATGGGATATTTAATACAATTGAATATATGTTGTGCTTAACAGTGCCAGAAAGTGGAGGCTCTATTTATTTATCAAAGCATTTGGAAGAATACAGTTGTGGAGGAGGAAACCACAACTTCCAAGTTGGTCGGTTTGTTTGTTTTTTTTTTCCTTAAGGAATATCACATTAACATGTAAAGCCATTTTAAATTTTCCTACATAAAACTTCCTGACTGGTTAAATTGTGCAGCAGCTGAAGAAATTAACCTCCCAAGCTCAAATCCAAATAAAAAGCAAGAGGCAGGATAAAAATAGTGGTTGTGTTGCTGCAGTTTTGCTAGCTTTGAAATTTGGGAATGTGTGTGTTTGGGCCTATGTCTATGGCTTATTTGGTTCTTTTCCCATATGTTTTCCAATGTCAACTGAAACTATCTTCTGTCTTCAAATTAAAGGCTCTTAAGGGTGACCTAAGTGTCACAGCTACTTGTGGCCATTTAACACATGTTCAACAGAAAAAGCTTTTCATTAGGAGTGAATGGGGAGACCTCATTCTTCTCCTCATGTGGGTCAAGGTTACATTGCAGTTCTCCTGAACTTAAAAGTTTATTAAATGGATGTAATTTCACATGGTGTTCAGAGTAAGTGGTTCTAGAGAAACTCCACTTTGGAACACAGTAATGACTTGACAAATGTGCCATATCTTGCTTTTTTGAGTCCTGATGCTTTGAATTGCCATATTCAAGCTGTCCTTACTCCCAGCACTGCTGATGATTTGAATAAGCTTGTCTTTTTCAGTTAATTCTGTCAAAGCTGATTCAGTGTCATGTAAAAGAGCTGACTGAAAAGCTACATTTTTATCAAATGGCACAGATGACCTCTGGGAGGTATGAAGTGAAATGATCACGTGGCTTCATCTAGGAGAGCCCTTGCTTTGCAGTGTGCATTTGGTACTGCTGTTCTCCCGGCCTCCGTGTGACAAATGTGTCGGGCTGGGAGGCTTGTGGGGCAGTGGTGGACGTATAGGAATTCTGCTTTCCAAGATTTACTCTTCCTGAGATGAAGCAAAGCCAAGAGAAGAATGTTTCTGAGGAGCAGGCGACTTGCTTTGCACTACTTTGCCATCACCGATGCGTCTGTAACAGCGACAGCTGCAAACAGGCCTTGTGAGACAATGAAGTCCTTGTCCTGCAGTCACTGCTGGTCAGATCTGTCCATTTGTAACTGTACTGACACCCAAAAACACCCAGCCAACTGCCTCTTCATAGCTGGATGGGGTCCAGCTCTGTGTTGAGTCAGTTTGCTAGAAGGGTGTTAGTTGTGCCTCTTCGAGAAAAATGTTACACTGCCTATCTCTGTCTCTTTTTTTTTCAGCCAGGTGACTTATCTGGAGGTTTGGTTTGGTTCCTAGCAGAAGAAAACCCAAAGGACCCACATGTACTTCATCTTTTAATTCTTATCTTCCATCACAAGCTATGTCACAGCATTGTTTTAGATTTCTTTTTGAAAAATCAACAAAACCTAAGCTATAGTTAGTCCCACTAATGCTCCCTTTCACAGCTAGACTTTGGGAATAACCTCAGGTTGCACTTCCTTCAGCAGAAAATTTGGCTTGACCTACACAGCAATGAGAAAATAACAGTTCCTTGGATGTCTTAAATGGTTTTCTAATTGCCAGGTGTTACCTAGACAGGGCAGTGTTAAAACAATGAGAATAATGAGGGGTTTTTTTCTTGTGTTAGTTGATATATCATTTGTACTTAATATACATGTGTATTTGAGTTCACTTTCAGGTCCTCTGGTTGTTGCCTTATGTTATGGAAATGACTGGGAATTCATTCAGGCAGGTGGATTTTGTTGTATAGAACCATGCCAGGTTGCATGAGAGCACATGAAACGTCTTTCTAGTGGAAAAAGAATTGAGCAAGCTGACAGATGGATGAAGTAACTCTCCACAGCTTGAAGAGACAAAAGTTACTTTAAATATGCCCTGAGTGTCAGTCATTGTAGCCTGTTCTACTTTCCACAATACAACTGGTTCTAATTTCCACAACTGGAATGGCCTTCCAAGGGTGCTGTGTTCTGTTGTAAGGGGGTGTGCTGAGGGCCAGTGGGATTTCTGGTGATTAGGAGGCTGAAGTGCAAATTTCAGTCCTCCAGCCCAAAATTTGCCAGTAGGCGGTCCGAGGTTACTCCAACAGGTCTGTAGAGTGTCAGCCTGTCACTGTTACAGTGCAGGTCATAAAAATTACTTCTTGACTGTTTTCTGATAGTGTTGAGATCTTGTTTTGAAAAATAAAGAGAACTCTGTATAAATGATGGTGTAATTAGGTGATAAGTTCAGCTGACTTACTAACCTAATTGTAAGGGTTGGTGATGGATTTGGCCAAGGCTGCCATCTGGTCATACACAGCAGAGGCCTCAGATGTGTCACATAAGGTCTGGGCTGAAGGAAAAAGGGAAGTCCCTTCAGCAAACCGGAATTCAAGTCTTGCTTTGCTTAGTGTCTTGAAACTCATGGTAAGAGATGAGTTTTGGAAATGATAATTTACCAATAAAACCAGTTGGTAAATAATGTTTCCACATTTCCTGCTGGAGGAATCCATGGCTAGGGTGAGAATCTGAGCTCAGGGTTGGGGTGTTTCTCTAAAGATGGCTTCATTACACTAATGCTGGTGTGGGTGATAGCGTTATCTGAGGGGGGATAATGCTTAACAAATGAAAAGGACTTGCTCTTGTTTATGGTTCCATATCATAGAGACAGGTGGGAGAGGATTAGCTCCTCTGCCTGTGATAAAGCAAATCTGTTAAGAGGGATTAAAGGGGCTAGATGAAGTGTTTTAATGGACTTATATGAAGTAATAGATTTTTGTCCTGGAGGAATGTTCAGGACTCACTGATACTTCTGCATTTCTTGTTCTGCTAAAATTACCTCCAAAATCTAAGGAATCCTGATTAATTGTTGGCTTTCTTCCAACTGCAGCATTTGTGTCAGTCATGTTGGTGCTTCAGAAACCTGGAATAAAATTTTGTTCTGCTGTCACAGATTTACCAGCCTGACACAGCAAATGGGTTGCACAGGTCTCATTCTGATGAGCCTTCATTTGGTGGACAAGTTGCTTTCAGGGCAGACCTTCATCATTTGTACCTCCTTGCTGTGGCTGTTCCACCTTCCTCTGGCTTATGGGAGGAGCCAAGGCATGGCTTCTCCCCTTGGCATTAATTACCCAGCCATATGGAGCCTGTGTTAACAAGCTCCGTACTTACTGGAAGGATCTATTCAAAAAACTTGTAATCTCCAGAGTGATATTTACAGCTTGGTTTATATTTGTGATAAAGAGATGCAGTGCTGTTGGTTTTCCCAGTATGATGCTTGCAGCTGCCATTCACACTCCTCCTGGTGAAGGTGTCTTGAGGTGAGATTCTTATTTACTTGTTGATAAATACAAATTCAGGACAGGTTTCCTACAGACCACACATGGTCTTAGTTCTTGGGTTTAAGTATATGGGGGTGAAACCCTAATCTTAGTGAATAACTTTTGATTTCAGCATCAAAGAAGAACTAGAAGTTACCTGCATCTTTCAGTATTCCTGATACATGCATGTGAGAGTATTAGAAAAGGAAGAGAAACAATGTACTTGCAGGGTAAGTAATTCCGAAATTAGCTTGAAAGTGCGTGAATTGCTATTTTTTTTGAAGCAAGGAAACATCCATTTGGTTAGTCCTTGGAGAAAGGTGTGCCTGATAGCCGTGCCTCTGGCACTGGAAGCACGCCCTGTTTTGTAAACCTTTGTATACACTTACAGTGCTGCGACCTGAAAACAAACATCCTCCAGAACACGTTGTCCGGAGGCACAAACAGTCTGACAGAGGCTCTGCCCCAAGGGGCTGAACCCCATTGTGTTTGTGCAAGAAGGAGCACAATGGGACATCCTGCCTGACCCCTCGGGGTCGCTGCCATAGTATGGCTGGGTTTATTCCATGGAATATTTCTTCTGAATGGAGTTGATGGATTTACACCAGTGATTGAGTTGGCCAGGCGACAGAGCTCTTACACTGCCTTAGGAATGTTGAGCGTTCATAAGTGTTAGGATGTGCTCAGTTTGTAGGGTAAAGTGACTGAGAAGTAGCTGGAATACCCAAAACATTTGCTGAAATTACATAACTGATTAACTATTTAATGGATATTTTAAATGAAACTGCTGGGGTTTTATGCTTCAACTTTCGAACCACCTGACAGTTCTTCCAGTGCTGCAAGGATTTGTCTTCCACAGTTCAAACATGAGGAAGAGATGAATTTGCATGACCTGGTAAAGGTCCTCTCCAAAGCATCGTTTCTTGTGTGATGTTTGATTTGTTGCTTTTTGATCCATGCACTTTATGGGTAGGACACTTCCAAACGAAAATGAATAAACTAGTTGCCTGGAAGGAAGGGGGAAGTGCTGGAGCTTTTCTCTAAACTGGATACTGGGAGACTGCAATGTGCCTTCTTTTTATATCAAGGTGTCCTTGTCTAAATCTGGTCTCATTTATCCGACCTCTTTTCTTTGAGAGAATAATTGTACACTTGTTCACTTTTCTACATAGCATGGAAAGTTATTCTGGATGAAATGACTTATGACTACATGAGCACCCCTGCTGTCACTGAGGCACTTGCTGATTTAATACATTTCTACATATTCTGTATCTTGTCCTAATCATGGTGAGGATCAGCCCGGTCAGTCAGGGTGGGAAATACATTATAGTTGGATCTCATGATATTGTTTCAGTCCAAAGTCCAGCTCTAGGTATGAACTTTGCCAAATTTTGGCCCTACCTGGGCTTGAATTTACAGATCTGCAAGAGGTT